AAATCGCCGAAACGTGCGTAAGTCTCTGAGGTATCAAAATCAGAGTGGCTTAAAACATTCTCTCTGACTATATTGGATATTTATCACAGGGTTTCATAAACCAGATAAGCATAAGATGCATCTATTGTCGATATTCTATCAGTTGAAGTGCAGTCATTTACTATCACAAAGTGCCATATACTCCGTTATTTTTCTAGAACTAGTCGGAAGCAACTTGTAGACTAATGGTCTTCCTGAGAATTATTTTTGAAGGTAATGTGAAATCAATTCTCCGTTGAATCTTGAAAGAACTTCTGCAACTCGGCATAATACCATTTTCACAATCTGTACCGCTCTAAAAGTTTCATTCGGGGAACCGCAAAGAATGACGACTTTTAAAGCAATAACTTCGCCTGAGTGAACGTTTCCACTTACTTTTTAGGAACAAGTAGCCTAGAGAAGCTCATAAATCTCGGAATATGACCGCTTGATTCTCTTGAACACGTTTTGAACCTGGTTTCAATTTTAATTATAAATCCGATTGAACACTGCTTAACTGATTTGACTCCTAACAGGTAGTCGATAGCACTCTGTTGTTCACAAACGAGAAGGAGCCAGCAGAGGTGCGAGCATTTATAAGTGATGTTGTGAATGTGATTGACATCACTGCTGCGTAGGACATTGGCCGTTAGGTAGCGTCCTCAAGCAAGTTAAAACAAGAGAAACTGTTGCTTCACATTTCATCTTTTCCTAGGTTACTCAATTAGCAAATAATGCTAAAGATACCTCACTATTAACATCTTCGTTCTGCTCACTGTTAGCGCTTTCTGATTGGGTCAACTCGGCGCACTCCACTGGTGCTGAAGACGGTGTCGATGTAGGGATAGCAGGTGTGAGATGAGCGAGTCGACGTGTGTTAAATGGAAAAGCTGGATGCGCCGCGGACGTGGATCTTGGTCTTACTTTCCCTTAAACACTGCAGTGAAGAGTTCTTTCCGAAAAACAAGCACAGCATTAAAACCGTGGAAACCTATGCTACCGAATAATCAATAGTTTCCTAGGAAAAAAAATCTCCGTCCGGTAAGAAATATGCGAGCTTGAAACACAATTGTCTTCCTTTCTTTGAAGGGTTATGATAAATTTTTTTCAGATCTGTTAGGTAGCGCATTAACCAGAGATTTAAGCTTTTGAATGGCCATTAACATTCCTATGAAAAATTCTTAACCAGCAAAAGAGGTCAGTATTCCCTCGCCTGAAAGAAACGAAACGAAAAAAGTTTATCTTTACACAAAACTACTCAACACTTTGAATTCCATAGACCCGACTAATGCTAAGACACAACATTACACCGTACAGAATATAAGCTTCATACTTTAGTAGGGTAGTCTGAGCTCTTACACCGTCAAGCACGCGGCGGCTCGGAGCCGAGCAGTCCACAAGTGGTGAGTGGCGGCTTGTGCTGCCATTCATCACGAAGAAAGTTGCTGATTCGATTCCTTAAAACGACGCTTCACTTTAGTTTTGATTGATGTTATCTTTCTGTATTGACTAGTACAGAAGGCTCTATTATGACGTAATTATCACAGCAAAAACGCTCAGTTGTCTAACATTTGAGCACTTTCTGACAAAAAACGTAAATCCATGGCGATGACGTATATCGAATTTTTTTCCACATTTCTTTCAATGATGCAGTATGAGATACGGTGTATCAGTGACTTGAGCATTTTTTAGTGAGAACATCAAGATAACACAAAGAAGTTACAGTGAAGTGTTGTGGTAGGGGATCGAACCGGAAACACTCTTCTCGATAGGCGCTAGCACGAGGCACTCATCAATGCGAACTGCTCGCTGTGTAGAAGCTTTGAAGACGTTACTAAGAACAGTCTCGAGCACTTAGATTCTAGACGCTGTAATGTCGGTTCGCCGCATCAATTTGGGTCTGTGGAAGTCACATAGTTTAGTTCAAAACTGGTTTAACAGTGTGCGATGATCCGCCTAGAAGAATACCGCATGTTCTGAAGAGATTCAATCGTATGAGAGAAGTTTGGCGGTGCTTAGTGCTGGATTTAATATTGATTATTATCACCCGTTGTCCTGAACTAAACCGTGATGACTGACTATGACACTGATTGAAAAGAGGAAAGATTACGCTTGATACAATACCGATGATTGTTAATCATTAAGATTGAAGTGATAAGAAAAAAAGCGGCGTTGATTAACAAAAGCACTTCAAATGCATAGCAATTTTTACAATTATTGGAAAATACGTTAGCAAACACCATATAGACAGATGTAGCGGTATATAGAAGAGTAAAATATACAAATGATTACTGTATTGTCTCGCTCCGTCATCACATGGCTATTGGTCAGGTTTCACATTTCGGCACAAAGAGTGCGACTCATCACTTTCACTACTGAAACTTTGGAGTTTTCCTTTGCTAAATCAATGAATATAAAACAAACATGATTTCGCAAAATTACATCAGTGCAGATATACTTGACATTGACTACTATAAATTCTAAATACACCTAAGAGATTTGAGTGGTGTGGAAAAATGCTGGCTTAGGCTGGAGTCAAACCGGCGTTTCACCTGTACCGGGGGCGTGTGCTACCATAACATCACCAAGGCCATCACTTGCCCAACACTCATTCTCCAGTATCTTTCTATAATGGCTATCAGCTAGCAATATTTGACACGCTTGATCGTGTAAGTAATATCGCCCTCTAAACCTAGTTAAGCTGACAGCCACTGCTCATACATAATAATCAAGACTACTCATGTTTTAACTGCGCTTTTCGCAGTGTTATGATGTTTTATCTGAACCTAAGAGAAGAAGTGGTGAGCAAAATTTTGACCGTCAGACGGAGTTGAACCGGCATTTCACAGACGCCGGGGTCGCGTACTACCAATATACCAATAACTGAGGCCATCACTTGCCCATTGTACTATTTATACTAATTCACTATAATAGGCTGATAACTATGATAGTGAAATGTTGAAGAACGAGTGGTGAGTAGGGCTGGCCTTGGTGGTGTAGTGGTAGCATATGCCCTAGGTATGGGTGAAACGCCGGTCCTACTCCTGTGCGAAGAGTGGAATTTTTGCTCACCACTCAATTTTCTTAAGTATATGTGAAATTATAACACTACGAAAAAAGCAGCTTAAACACCAGAAATTCTGAGATATCAAATAATTGACCATTTCTATGATTAATGCGTCTAATGAACTTTCATATTACTGAGCTAATCAAACTACTAAAAAGGTTAATCCATAAGCCTTGGCACAAGAGTAATAAACATCAAATTTATTAACCAGAAGTACAAAAGACTGCATAATTTCAATATCGTTCAATTTCGCATTTTCATGCGAACATTTTTACTATGCAATGTGCCTATACATGCTTCAAGATGGGGCTGTCTTGGAACAAATTCGCTTGCTAGTCAGATACAAATGGCGCGTAGGGGATAATGCCAGTGAAGTGGCGCGGAAGATTAATGGGGCTTCCTGTAGACGGCCTAAGCGCGACTGATCCTCCAGACTATTTCTGCAGCTTCAGAGTTCGCAAACCACTTCTTAGCCATCCTCTCTGCAACCGCATCGTCGCCCCGAGCTTCATTAATCTTGCACGTCGCTTTATTAGCATTTCCTCCTACTCACCATTCATTCATGAGTAGCAAGCAAATCTCGTCTCAAGACCGCCCTATCTTAAATTAATTGTGAGCAAGTTGTAAGCCAAAATGTTCTCAAGAAAAAGTGTACCTGGATAATACCAAAATCATGCAATTTTAACTACTTCTGTTCAATAAATTCAGTGCCTACTACTGTAGCGCCGAAACTTATGGGACGACCTAACAACTACCTCTGTTGCACCAAATACGATACTTCAACAATGACGCGAATTTTATACAAATACTACGATGCGAAGATAATGTCACACTCAACATGAAAACAAAATAGCTCGCAGTGTATTCTATCAATACTAGTCGAACAAAAAAGGATGGATTCTCTGAATCCATGGTGATGAAATGAAGGTTCTCCTTTTCGGCCATGGTGAAATTTTGATATTCTGCAGTCTGACCTCTACGGAGATTTTGAAGAAAAAGATCCTTGATACTCTAGCTTGGCGCAGCAAGTCGCCTCCGAATACCTATAAAACATTCCTTCTACTTATTGCTCCAAGGCTCATATTTTGAACTCGATAACGAATGAACAAGCTATATGTGACCCAGTGTGCTACTATGGTGTAGCCTAATGTATCGCCAGCGTTTGCAGTTGGCAGTCATCCGTTGGGAATTTTGTTAACTTAGGACATCTTAGATAATTCCTAAAGTTCAAGTTTCAAACACATTCATATCAGATTCGAATGCATTGAACTAACACTGCTATATGGCGAAGTCTCTTCAGTGAATCTATAGGTTTGATGGAAAAAGGAAAATCATAGTTGATTCTTCAGAAATCTATAATTTTCAGAAGAAACTGACGCGTAATCCGGCACGCGATCACATTTTGTCGCGGGATGAACACAAGATTGTCGGTCATCACATGCAAACTGCCATCGAACACATGGAACATACGGAAGACATGTCGATGGACTGTAAAGAACAAGTGAAAATACAAAGCATTCCACTCAAATTACTTCAGCATTAAGGCAAACACTTTCGACAAGCACACCTAGAAGAACTGAATGGTAAGCAAAAATCCGACCACAGGCGGGAGTTGAACTCGCGTTTCATCCATACCGGGGTCACGCTCTACTACTACACCACCAAGAGCACCACTTACCCACAACTCATTCTTCAATATCTCCCTGTCGTAGCTATCAGTCGCCAACCGTAAGCATCATAATGCTGCACATAAAGCAGTAAAAACAATTGAATTCTTAAGTACTACATATCACAACAGCTGTCATCTTAACTGAGTTTATAGAGTGATATTGCATATCCGACCAAACCTGTTAAAGGTAGGTAGCTGACAGTTATTACGGAGAGATTTTTAAGAATGACTTGTGGGCAATCGGCGGCCTCGGTGGTGCAGTGGTAACAAGCGCCACTAGCATGGGTGTACAGCGGGTTCAACTCCCGTCTCAGGTGGGACTTTTGCTTACCACTCATTTCTCCGTGGTGCGGGGAGCATTATAATGGGTTGGGGAAAAGTTTTGAGAGAGTGCTTGTAACTTTTTCGGGTGTCGGCCATTTTTGTGTTTCTGTGCTCATTTGAATGCCCGCCTTTTCGCGCGTTGATTGCTATATAATTTATCTACTTATTTCAAGATGGAGTTAGGAAGTGAGCAAATTTGGTTGTTGACGATGCACGAATGGCTGTTGGTTGGGTTCAAATGCAACGGTGGCAAGTGAACGCATCAATCTGGCTTTGGCAAAGACACAGTTGGCAAAAGTACGGTGCACAGGTGGTTCAATAAATTTGAGGAAGAAGAAGAAAGTTTGGAAGATCAGCCGCGTTCAGGTTGTCCAGGAGAAATTAGTCGTCAAACTGTGCTTGGAGCGATTGAAGAAAACCCCTCTTGGACAACTCAATCATTTCTTCAACAGCAAGAAATCGGAATTTTATGCTCGCGGAATCCATCTTTTGCCGGAGAAGTGGCAGGAGGTGCTTGAACTTGAAGGGGAGTACTTTGACTATTAGTTTTGTCTTTGTTCGGGTGTAATAGGTGCAGAAATAAATGTTTTACGAGCGTTTTCTCAGAACTTCTTCCCCAACCTATTAATATTGCGAAAAAACATTAAAACACTAGAAATCTTGAGTACTACTTCTAAAAAAACTAGTTATCAACCACTGAAAAAATATTCACCATGATCGCGATGAAATTTCCAGCTAAATCAAATCTAAACATGTGGTTCTCCAAAATACCCCGCTTGTGAATATGGGAAGTCCTTCGATAAGATCAAAAATCACTGCAAAACTTTCATGGACCCTTAATTTTGATTACTTATTGTAGAAGCACAGAACCGGTTTGCCTTTTCTATCCATAATACGAGAAATTTTTAGGATTTTTTGATAATTCTTACTTTCAGTTCGCGTTTAGCTAACACTATCACTGGATCGTAATAGTTGTAAGAGGATTCTAATAACGAATTTATGTAAATAGAAAATACAACAGAAAAACATCCGAGGGAAAACGGATTCAAAATAATGTATGAAGTGCCAAGTGATGACACTTTGACTACCACTTCCCATTACAATAACAACCATTTCGAGAGCGTAGAAACACGGTCTCTGCACCTCTAACACCTATCGCTCCAGTGTTAAACCCAACAGTTTGCGATTGCTAGCCGCAGCATGCTGAGGTTTAGAGGTGTAGAGGAGGTGGAACGGACCGTCCAGAGTTACCAGTTAGAAGTACGGAGACCGTGCGTCCACGGTCGCGAAAGGGTTTTGTTTCCTATGAATGAATGGCAAATATCTTACGGAATAGTGTAAAGGAAGTGCGCAAAACATCACTACATAGATATCTACAGTTGAACTAGAAGAAGAACTCGCGAAACTCAATGCACAATAATGTACCACTAGTATCTGTTAAAATCGAGCTATCAATCAAAATAATTTTTGAGAAAGCGAAGAAAAACGAACTTTTCACTGTTGATAGCATATTCTAAAGGGCATATGCACTCATACCTCTAATTTAAATCACGAAGAAAACGACAAAGATGTGAACAACGGGCTTCGCGACATACACGTGTAAAGATCCCAACTACAAACATATAAAAAAAGGAATTTTAGAAGCCACAAAATCTTTCTGAACATTGTAACAGCATCAGGATTTGAATCTCACCAAATCTTTGAATAACAGAGGATTTTGGGAGGCCGATAGTTCTATTATACGGAAGTTCTATAATTGTTGAATTGCTGGATTAGCTAAACATTCTTAATAATGACAATTTCGAAGAACCTGTGGACTTCCGGCCGAAACTAGCTTGGATGTTATTTGAGCACGAGTATTCTATTTTCATCTAGTGGTGCTACTGAACGTTCATTGGCAATCGAGGGATATAATGATGCCGGAAACTAGACGAGGCCATACCGACGTCACAAGACCATGTTCCACTAGGACACTAATAAAAAATACTTCTTAGGCATCTTCCTAACTGTGGTGCAAAAGTTGACATATGAGATCTTCTCATGAGTTTTTGGCAGCAGAGCATTAAACACCAAATTAATTATGTAGGTAATTAAAACTGCTTAACAACACTATTCAAAGTATGCGACATCAGCCTGAACACATTTCTGCTACCTCTCAGGCAACAAATCAACACCGCTTTGTGTAGAATTTCCTGAGCTTCGCATTCTCCTAGTGCCAAATTTGTCCTAACTCGCCGCATCATGGTTGCTCAACGAAGCTCTTATCACAGTATGCTGCTTTACGAGTGCGAATTGGAACTCGATGCACAGACCGCCTTCGAGATTATAAACCGTGAAAAGGCCGAAGGATCTGTGTTTAGACACGTTTTGGCTCTTTGCTGGGTTTCGCGCCGACACCACCAATTTGAAGTCACGTCGATGTCGCCGTAATCTCATACTGCTTCAAGACAAAGCAAAGCTGTATGTCACCACATTGACATAGAGGAAGTTGATCGATCTGGGCTAGGAGTTGCTTGATTATCCGCCGCACAATCCTCACTTGTCGCAATCTGACTATCACCTCATCCGATCGGTGGAGAACTTTCTAAGTAGGAAGAAGTTCCGCGACATCAATCATCCGCGTCGAGGATTTACAACTTTCCTTAAATCCGAGGATGACGAGTTCCATGAGTGCTGTATTGACTTGCTGCCCGAGAGATGGCAGAAATGTGCTCAAGCTGATTCCATATAGTTTAAATAGTGTTGTTGAGAAAATTTAATAACGTCCGGTTGACAAATTTGGTGCTTATTACTGCGGCGTCAAAATTTATGAGAAGACGTAATGAAATTAGAAATGTTCGTCATGGGACATACCGTATAAAAGAGTTGCAAGTAGACACGATCGGCATAAATTCTCGTTCCAGGTCACAGATTTGTGGAAAATTTCTATGAGCAGTACAAAAAGAAATGTGAAAAGTGAACAATAGAAGAATTTTTTTCATGAAATTGCCCACTCTCAAGAATACCTTGGACAGCCATGTATTACACTTTCGTCCATCCAGTTGACACTGAATTATTGCCGGCGATGATAAGAATTGTGAAACATCTATGTAGAACAGAGAGCTAAATTGAGATAATAATGTAAACAAACGAAAGGATTCTATAGTACCAACACAACAGGGCGTACTTTGCCTGGGGAAGCACTGTGAGGTCACGTGGCACTGGAGAATAACCAGTAGCTAAGGATACTTCGCTTCCCGAAACAATCTGCCCAAATAACTTTAGTGACGAAGAATGAATATCATAAGAAATTTGAAGCACGATATCAGAGATATACTATAGATTCCCCTGAGTTCTGATACTTGCACTCTGTAGCCTACACCGGCCCTCGGATAGCACGATGCATAAAGAGCTCGACCGCTCTCATCCATTGCCATTGAATAAGAAGTAGAACAATTGTGACGATCAGTAAAGGTTGACGTCCAAACAGACAACCATATGTTTCAGTGACAGTTCTTATAACTTCTTGATTACCAAAATCTCTACATGAGTGAATAAGGGATATCAAAATACTCTGTACGTATTTTGGAAGAAAAAACAAGCCGAGAGAACTTAATCTTAGATGGATCTTTGCCATCAATCCAGAAAATGAGCCGGGTTGACGTGTCCATCGCAATAGAATGAGGAATTCCAACCGATAACAGACTGAAATCCACGATGGGATCCAATTGTAAAAGGATCAATTTCTATGACTCAAAGTGGCTTTAGTTAGATCACTAAAGACGCGATAACATCTAAAAAGACAAACAAAAGACAAGCAAAAAATTGATCAGGAGTTGAGTGATGAGGTATGCGTACAGCACTCCGCATCATTTTGCTAAGGTCTTTGTAAATCTGCTTCACTCTTTCGAAGTTTGGAGGATAAATTTGTGAATTATTTGACGAACTTCTTAATAGAACACTGTTTGATCAGCCAGACATCTTAAATTCATCACAACGAAACCATTCTCATTGCTTGATACAATTGTACTTTTTGGGGTTGGGGAAAGTAGAAGTCAAAGTATAGATAATTGTGTACAGCTGAACTGACAAGACAACTTTGAGAACTGACCATTGCAAATAAGAGAATACTGATCAAACACAAAGTAATCACAGGAAAGGCAGTACGTTCCGTTTGTGAGGTGGCGAGAATAACTGCGTGCAATGAGACTGTTCGTACATACACGGCCTCGAGTCTAAAAAACGCGGTCAGGCCGAAAAATTTCAAGTGAACTGTCTTTTACTTATACTGAAGAAAAACTTGTACGATGTCTGAGTTCCTTCTTTCAAATTCGATAGTCAACGTTTTGAAAATTTCGTCTTCGTTAGGGTTTTGACGTACTACACCATACTGCATCTAATTATTTGCTAATATTAGGTCGTTACATAAGTTTTGGCACTGGGGCAATAAACGTAAACCTATCAACCATAGGTAAATAAAATTTTAAGATCATGGCACCGTCCGATTGCGCATTTTCTAGCGAATATCTTGGTATACAGTTTGCCCATTTGTGCTTCAAGATGGAGCTGCCTTGGGAATATATTTACTTGCTAATCATGCATGAATGGCGCTTAGGAAAAAATGCTAGTGAAGCGGCGCGCAAGATTAATAGAGTTTCCTGTGTACAGTCGGAGCCTAACTGGTCTTTCAGCGCATTCTTCCCAGTTTTGGATAACGCAAACCATTTCTTTGTCATTCTTTCTGTAACCGTATCATCGCCCCAAGGTCGATATTCTCACGCGCCGTTTCACTATCATTTTCCCCTGCGCGCTGTCGTGAATGACTAGCAAGCGAATTCGTTCCCACGATAGCTCAGCTCCATATTAAAGTTAGTAAAAGCAGGTTGTGTAGAAAAATGTTTATAAGAAAATCCGCAATCAAATGATACCAAAATGATGCAATTTTGATTACTTTTGGCTAATAAGTTTGGTGTTTACTGCTCTTGTGCCAAAACTTATGCAGCGACCTAACAAA